TGATACCAAATCCTGAGCAGCTTCAGAAATACACAAAGAGAATTAACTGAAATTATTATTGCCAAATCCTGTTCTCTTTTAATATACAATTACTGGAAAACTATTATTTCATGGCAAACACAGATGGCAACAAATTAATTAGTTTTCTTTATAATATAAAAAGAAACTATAAAGATCCACTGACACAGTATTTAGCTCTTTCAAAGAGTTGGTTGGTTCATTTCTCAAAATAATAATTTATTCATAGAAATAACTTCCTAACCAGTATAATTCATTTTCTTCTCAGTTAAAGACCCTGGTAATTTTAAGTGATTGACAATGAGTATTCTCTTCATTTCAGATTAGTTCCAAAATATGATTGCCATAATTTCATTTGATTTAATTTCACTTCATAAGTGTTAACAATAATGGCATATTGAGTCTGACTCTTCCTGTATGCAAGACAACAGCCTTACTACTTTCAGATTATTTTAGACTATTCCACAGGAGTGTATCCTCCTAGTTAGCACTCTCCAAAACTGAGTAGATACAATTGTCTGCTGTGGTCACAGATTTACTTTTCTTCTGGAAAGGCCTCTCTTCCAGGTTTGGGTTCTGAGAACCTTCCAGGCCAGGCATGGTAGAGTCCCCCTTGTCTATAGTTTAATTGTAAATTTTAAAGGCAGTTTTCCAAGGCTCAATAATATGGGAAGCAAAGGGTGACATTTTTCCCATATTGACAGGTGATTGGATAAATATTTTGGGACAGGGTACTTCCAAAGAATTATAAAATGGAAGTATTTACAGACGTCTTAAACATAATAACTACTTTGACTCCAGCTTGCTCATAGGTCTTCAAATTATAGGCTGCTACATACTCCACCTTCTCTTCCGGCCAACAATACCTCCTTAAAACAATCTGTGAAACTTTATGAAGGCTGCACCTAGGTAGTGATTGAGAGGATTCCAGAAAATACATAATTTTTTCCCCTAGTAATTTGGGAAAAATTTATTCTTGCTCAGTCAGTCTCCTTTGGGCAGGCTTGACTATCCACGCATACAGTTTTAGACCTCATTTTATTCATCAGAGTATCTCTAGCACAAGTATTTTCAGATGTGAATTTGTTTCCATTTTGATATGTGCAGTTTTAGTACAGAAATATAAGAGATAGGCAGAGAATCTTACTCTTCTACAGGAAAAAAATTAAGTTTTTCAGTATTTTTGGTTAAATAATGTGCCTCAGGTCACTTTTAATAAACACTAAGCTAGTGAATCACTACTATGTTCCAGGTACTCTTCTGGGTGTTGGGGATTAATTAGAGAGGGTTTGGCATATGGTAAAGCTCTTGGTTTTTCCAGACTGTGTGGGACCTCAGTCTTTAAAAATATTTTGAAACACCTAGTATTTATAATCTTCCAAACAGACTTTCTTATGTTGAAAATCAATAGTAATTTCTATGTAAGTAGTAGGATTAGTGAACCTTGTTTCAAGTGAATATTAATGGTCAAGTTTTAAAAATCAATTGTAAAATTATATATATGTAAGGACATTTAGAAAAATTACTGTTAATCCACCTACAGATAACCAATTTTGATGTGACATACATAAGATTATCCTACATATAGAGTAAGAAGTTACAAAAGTCTTGTATCTTATTTTCTAATTAATTATATCAATAATGTTTTTCTGTCAGTAAAATTCTTGTAAACAATTTTTATGGCTACATAATTCATCATATGGATGTACTATAATTGATGTAATCATTTCCTTATTATCAGATATGTAATTTCATTTTTCATGTTGTTATTATCACAAATAATACTACCTGCATGTTATATTATTTCCTTGGGATGAAGCCCACAAGGTAATGCTAAATGAAGGGTATGGACATATTTAAGGTAAAGAAAAATATTGTCACATTATCTTCCAGAAAGATTGTATTAATTTACATTTCCACTAGTAGAGTTTACCTGTTTTGCTGAACCATTGCTGGCACTGACGAATATTATTGGACTATAAATTTGCTAATTTGATCATTTAATGGGCTATATTTTTTATTAACTCTGAGCCGCAATCATAAAAAATAAGATTAAAAAATTAAAAAATCAATATAGATAAGGAACAATGTAAAAATTCCAAGAATGCTCAGCGTATAATAATGTTCTAGGACTGCAAAAGTTTATTTCATATGAAATCAAAGTGAAAATATGGTGTCTTTTTTGGGAAAAGCTCAGGATGCCGTCTAAAGTATGAAACATCAATTTACTAGGTGAAAAGTTAGAGCAGAAAAAATATATATGTATCTATAATAAAAATGCAGATAAATTGCTACTGTGGTTTCAAAGCTGTGTTAAAGGTTAATGTAGTTAGATTACAAGAGAAGTTTGTAATAACTGAATAACTGTACATAGAGGCAATACATAAGTTACTAAGAACCTCTCCCTTCTGAAGTTCCAATTTTAGTGTTTGTGTATAAGAACTGGCATGTTTGGTTTTTGCAGTCTTGCTTTGCTTGAGGTAAATGTGTAAGGGCTGTCTCAATACAAAAGATCTGAAGACTTTTTTTTTTACAGTTTTGCTTTCATTGTTGCTGGGACCCTTTGACTTATCACATCATATTATCAGTTCTACAAAGAATTTGGATTGCTCTCCAGCCCTCTAATTCCCTCCCCCATGCCTTTTTTTTTAATTACATAAAAGACATCAATTTGCTAGAATAAAATCAAGACCTATGTACTCACAATTTAAGGCAGTGTCAATAGAAAACTTTTGGTTTTATCTTTGTTTTCCCAATATTTTCTTTAAAAGGTTTCCTAGTTCAATTTTTTTTCTTTAATTTCTTTCATGGAAAATGAAATGGGAATTGTGGTTAAAAGTAGTACTATTTAACTAATAAGATCAACAAATTAATAGCATATGTGTTTTTAAAGATTGGAAATTATTTACACAACTAGATAAAAGAAACGTGTTCACTGACAGACTTTATAGAGTTCTAGCAACATTACTTCTTGGTCGCATTACTTATGTGTTTCTCAGACAAAAACTTTGCCCAGTGCACAGTCTCACACAAATTTGATATGGGCTGTCCATTACTACCTTCTTTCAAAGGATGGTTCCCCTCTCCCATAGCCCCAAGGGGAAAAAAAAATCATGGTGCATAAAGCTCTGAAATGTATCCTGGCCACCTGAAGACTCTATTTCTTGTTTGTACCCCTGCCCTTGTACTTACATTAATTTGTACAGACCCTGTAGTTGCCCTAGGACACTGCTCTCCTCTTAGCCCAAGCTACAACAACGCACACAAATGATCTCCTCCCCTCTTTGCTGCCAACTTCAGTGCCTGGCTCAGGCATGTCACCTCTTCCAGGAAGCCCTCACCAATACACTTTTCCCTGTCTGGATGTGTCGCCTCTTTGTGTTCCCATAGCGCTTCTCTCGAATTATGTTTACCTCTTTATTAGACTCGACCTCATAAAGAAAGACTATTTCATTTGTTTTCCTACTCTAACATAGAACCGACCAAGCTTACTGAATTAATGTCTACAGCTTAACATGCCCCCCCCCCTCCCCCCGCCCCAATGTCTACAGCTTAACATGCCCCCCTCCCCCCGCCCCCCTCTCCCCTCCCCCCGCCCCAATGTGAAATGTTAGCCCAGCGATTTTGTAACAGTTTTCCTTCAGGAGCCCATTTATAGGAGTCTGCTTCTAATCTCATCACCTGGTGCCAAACGGTAATTCCAAACCTATTCTCACATTCCTCTTACAAAATGAATTGTTCTCTTTTTCACCTACCTTCTCTGAGGGTCTATGCCTCTAATGAAGCTTCAGCAAAACTAGAGAAAATAATCTCATTCTGTTGTGCTCAGTCATGAACATGACTCAGGTCACAAACCAGGTCGCGTGTGCGTACGCTGGGAATCGGGCTGGGAAGGGAGACTAGGGTATTTTATGGTGCTTCAACATGAGGGTTTGATTATAGGTTTTCCTGGGAATAACTCAAAGCGGCGGATAAAGCCCTTGAAACCCCAAATAAGGAAAGCAGTGGAGAGAACAGGGGATCGAAATCAGAAAGCATCAAGTGGTAGGACAGGCAGGGAAAATGGAAAGTGAGGTACGGAAAGTTTAACCGCTGGGAAGACTAGTTGCAGCCACTCCCCAGTCTCCCACTGCGCAGGCCTCCCGCGAGCAGCGCCGAAAAAAAGTCGGTCTCTCCGGGCTTCCTCCCCGGCTCCCTGCTCGGCTCCGGTCCCCGCCACCCCCCGCCTTCCGCCAGGCAGTTTAAATCGAGCGCTCACACCCACTGAGATGCTGCAAAGTGCGCAAAGTAAAATTCCGTAAGGCTGACAGCCGGATCCTGGAACTTCAGTGTCATTTTATTTTTGTCCGAGGCCTAAGGGGAGCCGCCCTCACGCCGATATTATGCCAAAGTTAAAAAAGCAAGTTCTGGCCCTATTTCCTCGGTGCAATCAACTCAATGAATTGGCCTGCCCCGGCGTGCTAGGTTAGTAGGTACCCTTGGCACTGTACTGCACACTTAAGACCTAGGAACTGAAGAGGCAATCTCTTTTCCCCGCTCGCCTTCGGTGCTGGGCCAACGCCCCCACCGCGCCCTGGCCCTAGCCTTTCCTTCTCCACCCACTTGGGAGTCCGAGCTGCTCATTGGCCGCGTGTCCTGCCAATCCAATAGATGTCGGCGAATCTAGCCTTATGGAAGGCGAAGATGAAAAGAAAGCGCGTATACCTGGAGGGCGTCGGGGAGTGCACGTGCCTTTAACGCCCCCCCACTGCAGGCCTCTAGTGTGGAGCAGCAGACCCCGCGGCTAGGAGACGAGGGAGGGGATATTTACATAACGGCTGCCCCTCGCTTCCTCACGCGGGCGGGGGTCCCGCCCCTCACTCAACTCAAAAATCTATTGGGCCTCGGGCGGGTCACTCTGACAAAAAGCTAGCCTTGGCGGGCTGTCCTGAGAGCGGATTGGCTCTGGGAATTTCCACAAGTCGGCAGGGAGGTGGCTATAAGAGCGAGGAGCCTAGCCCAGAGTAGCGGGAGACACAGTTTGCGCTCGTGGTATCAGGTGCAAGGCAGCCGTTAGTTGACTCCGCGGATTTTCTGTCCCTGGTGTTCTTGCCTAACGTCGCTTGCCTATCTTTCAGCCAGGATGTCTGCCCGCGGCCCGGCTATTGGCATTGACCTGGGCACTACTTACTCGTGCGTGGGGGTCTTCCAACATGGCAAAGTGGAGATCATCGCCAACGACCAGGGCAACCGCACCACCCCCAGCTACGTGGCCTTCACCGACACCGAGCGCCTCATTGGCGATGCCGCCAAGAACCAGGTGGCTATGAACCCCACCAACACCATCTTCGACGCCAAGAGGCTGATCGGACGTAAGTTCGAGGACGCTACAGTGCAGTCGGACATGAAACACTGGCCGTTCCGGGTGGTGAGCGAGGGAGGGAAGCCCAAAGTGCAGGTGGAATACAAGGGAGAGATCAAGACCTTCTTCCCAGAGGAGATCTCCTCCATGGTCCTCACTAAGATGAAGGAGATCGCCGAAGCCTACCTGGGGGGCAAGGTGCAGAGCGCAGTCATCACCGTCCCGGCCTATTTCAACGACTCGCAGCGCCAGGCCACCAAGGACGCGGGCACCATCACGGGCCTCAACGTGCTCCGCATCATCAACGAGCCCACGGCGGCGGCCATAGCCTACGGCCTGGACAAGAAGGGCAGCGCGGGCGGCGAGAAGAACGTGCTCATCTTTGACCTGGGCGGCGGCACCTTCGACGTGTCCATCCTGACCATTGAGGATGGCATCTTCGAGGTGAAGTCCACGGCCGGCGACACTCACCTGGGCGGCGAGGACTTTGATAACCGCATGGTGAGCCATCTGGCTGAGGAGTTCAAACGCAAGCACAAGAAGGACATTGCGCCCAACAAGCGCGCAGTGCGGCGGCTTCGCACCGCCTGCGAGCGCGCCAAGCGCACCCTGAGCTCCTCCACACAGGCTAGCATAGAGATCGACTCGCTCTACGAAGGTGTGGACTTCTACACGTCAATCACCCGCGCCCGCTTCGAGGAGCTCAACGCTGACCTGTTCCGCGGGACCCTGGAGCCGGTGGAGAAGGCGCTGCGCGACGCCAAGCTGGACAAGGGCCAGATCCAGGAGATTGTGCTGGTTGGTGGCTCCACCCGCATCCCCAAGATCCAGAAGCTGCTGCAGGATTTCTTCAACGGCAAAGAGCTCAACAAAAGCATCAACCCCGATGAGGCGGTGGCCTACGGAGCAGCGGTGCAGGCGGCCATCCTCATCGGAGACAAGTCGGAGAACGTGCAGGATCTGCTGCTACTCGACGTGACCCCGTTGTCGCTGGGCATCGAGACGGCTGGCGGCGTTATGACCCCACTCATCAAGAGGAACACCACGATCCCCACCAAGCAGACGCAGACCTTCACCACCTACTCAGACAACCAGAGCAGCGTGCTGGTCCAGGTGTACGAGGGTGAACGGGCCATGACCAAGGACAATAACCTGTTGGGCAAGTTCGACCTGACCGGGATTCCCCCGGCACCCCGCGGGGTCCCCCAGATTGAGGTCACCTTTGACATCGACGCCAATGGCATCCTCAACGTCACCGCCGCCGACAAGAGCACCGGTAAAGAAAACAAAATCACTATCACCAACGACAAGGGTCGTCTGAGCAAGGACGACATTGACCGGATGGTGCAAGAAGCGGAGAGGTACAAATCGGAAGACGAAGCCAATCGCGACCGTGTCGCCGCCAAAAACGCCGTGGAGTCCTATACCTACAACATCAAGCAGACGGTGGAAGACGAGAAGCTGCGGGGCAAGATTAGCGAACAGGACAAAAACAAGATCCTCGACAAGTGTCAGGAGGTGATCAACTGGCTCGACCGAAACCAGATGGCGGAGAAAGATGAGTTTGAACACAAGCAGAAAGAGCTGGAAAGAGTGTGCAATCCCATCATCAGCAAACTTTACCAAGGCGGCCCTGGCGGCGGCGGCGGCGGGACCGGAGCCTCCGGGGGACCCACCATCGAGGAAGTGGACTAAGCTTGCACTCCAGTCAGCGTAAACCTCTTTTCCTTTCTTTATTATTTTTTAAACTTAATCTTCATTGTATTTTTCTCATTACCATATAGTCCCCTTATATCCCCCTTCCCCCTTCTTTATTTTTTTCCTTTTGTTTTTGTTTCTTTGAAATGTCCTTGTGCCAAGTAGAGATCTATTGTTGGAAGTCTTTAGCCCGGTGTATACATATGAAAGGAAAGGAGCAACAACTTAGTTTAATTATAAAAGGTTAGTTCTAAAGTTTGACTTTTAAAAACATTATTTGAGATTTCTTTTAAATGCATTTTGCATGTTTGCTGACTTGAGCAATTTTGGTTAGCTTATTTTTAGATGGGAAACCTTAAGTTTGTGCACATGTTCTATGGAAGCTTGGTAACAATATATAGAAGCTTGAATTGTTTAGTTTTATGTGCTAAGGAGGAAAGTCAACATTGCAGTAAAGTCAAGAATAGGCATTCTTTTTGCACACAATTGCATAAATACAAATTTAAAGTAAAGCTGGAATTGATTTCAAAATTGCTGTCTTGGAGTTTTCAATTTTCTTTCTGTACTGTTTTACCCATGTTAATCTTTAAGATATTAGTATGAGGTGAAGTTTATCTAATTCAATTTTGTCTAATTCTCAGATGAGGTTCTCAGATGCTTTGAATTACCAACAGCTTAATTGGAGAAGATCTGGGTAAACTTTTCCCCCTCTTTAAACACAGAAACCAGATTGGGATCTTCCAGTGTACCCAAACTCCTAAGGCTTGGCTTAAGTGTTCAAGTGAAAATCCACCTGCATATTCCATTAAAATACAAACTGTATTTGGGGGTTAAATGTAAAATGATTCTTTAAACTAAAAAAAGCTGGGGCACGAGTTGTCTTCTGAGAATAGCCCAAAGTAGTATGAAACAAATTGCTTTCTGTGACATACAGGTGCCTGAAACAAGAACCAGTAGGTAAACTTTACAGCCACTTAATATTAAGAGTCCAAATTTAGTCAAACTTGTTTTAACTTTCTAGTAAAACAGCTCAACTTTTGAGCTTATTCCACAAGGATGTGTTTCCAGCAGGTACAATTTCTAGGTGGGTAGGAGATTTGTAGATATTTTTCCCCCCTGATTTAAGAATCATAATGATTTTGCAATACCTTCCTTAAATCACTAGAATAGATTTCTTTTTTAAAGGCAAGCTGCAACATAGTTCTGTATTTTGCTAATATACAACTTGTCCATTTTCCTATATATCTGATTTGAGATTGGTATAGATAGGAATATTGCAACCCTTTGGAATAAAGGACTTTAAAGGATAAAGTCCACTATCCTGGGCTTTAAAATCCACATCCTTGGGAGAAGGAGGGTCATGTTTATTTTTTAGTGGAATTACACTTCTGCTTTATTCTGATTTATTCTCTTTAGGGGAAACTTGGGAGAAATTCCGTAAAGCTGATTGGAAAATGTATAGTAAACCTAATGTTTTCACCACTTATATACATTTTGATATCTCTTTCCAAATAATGTGGATTTGCTTCATGTTGTTCATAACATAACAGTGAATTATAGAAACTACATTTGTAATTTAGTAGTGGGCCCTTCTTTATTATGCAGAGAAAATAAAAAGTAGGGAACAAATTAGCCTAAAATTGGGCTTTGGTAATGACCCTCACATAAGAAATGACTCTTAAGTACATATACATTTCCTTTCCCCGCACCACAGCAGGTCTCATTTGGGTGAGGGATGAAGATAAAAAAAGCAATTGTGAAGTTGCTTCAAAATAAACTTTTAAAAATTACACTGAAAAGCAGAAGATAACGGGGTTTTCAGTGCTGGTGCTGCGCTGGTGGCAAATTTTCAGCAAGGAGGTATAATGGTGTTTTATTGACTACAGATAATATCACATAAATATTTGACAAACTACCTTGTTATTAAGAAAACAGGTCATTAATAGCCTTAGAGTGACTTTGAGCATTAATTTTTACCAAGATAATACCCATGCTATTAAGCTTCTATTAGATCTTTATTTGTCGAAAGTGTTTATCCCTTGCTCTAACTTCAGGATGTAATGGAGTCTTTCTGTAAGTGCAATCTGGTATTAGTATGACTCATTTTAGACCTCACTTTAAAAGATACTAGCTTCTAAAGTATCAGAAAAATGACCACAGGTAGTCTCTTTGATTCTGTGGCCAGGCCTCTGGTAACTGGCTATAACACCAATTTCAATCTATGTAAACACTTATTTTCTATCATTTTGAAAAGTAATTTGTAAAACTTCTAGCCTTCTTGAGTGTTTTTTATTTAATTCTGTCTTCTCAAATTTACCTAGATCTGAATATTATTAAGATAAAGCTACCAAAGCAGCCATTCAGTGTTTCCAGGGGTCAGTTGAAACTAGTAACCCAATAACTCCTGGGAACTCCTTAGCAAATGTTAGATCAGCTATAGTCAAATGACAATGGAAAAAGTACTTGATGTTAGGACAAGACTAAATTACAGTTTAAGAATTAATTAAGCATCACTTGAACTTTAAAGTAGTGAGTTATGTTAGAGACTTGTGGTCATTTATGACTAAAGCAAATGCAATACATGTAGAATAAAAAAAATACATTTCTCAGAAGAGGCACTTAAATTCTTCTTACCTGAATGTCTAATTAACATAGTTGTCCTGTTTGGAGACAATAAATCTAGATATCTGTTAAAATAACACATAATAGATTGTTTATAGTATTTGAGATGTGTGGTGTTTCAAAACAAGCTCACTCTAAATTTTTTATAGTATTACTTTGATATGTATAATGTAAATGCATTAAAATGTACATATTAGGAGGTATTAATGTTATATATTTAAACTTAACATATATAATAGGATAGTGAATTATCTAATCAGTATGTCAGGGAGACGAAATGAGAATTTCTTTATCCTATATATAATCTTAAGTAGGACTACAACCTGGTTATTTAGATAAAATGAAAAGATTTCTTTTTATGAAGTTCAAACACTAGCCCATGATAAGGCCTTCACCTACTTTAAATGGAATGTAGTTTATAAAAGTTGTGTTGTGAGGCATTTTCCTCTTCCTTGAACACTGTAATTAAAGTTTTAAAGAACCTCAAATCCATATATTACAAGACAATAGTTAAAATATGTATTAAAATATATTTCACATGCATATTGAAATATATTTATATATTTTATAGAAATAATTTTACATATTTCATAAAAATATATACATTAAAGGACAGGAATATTCAATTGCTTCTGTATATTTAATTTATAAATAAGTGTCAGAAAACTGTTTTGAAGGACTATCCTTAAGCATTAAAATTAGATACAGAATTTCATTCCTTGAAGAAAAAGTAAGGATCTTTGGGAAAAGAGACCAGTATTTATTTTTGATATAGCTCTTGGAATGGATATATGCATTTCTGAAACTTAATAGGGTGATATTTGTTGTAGAAATGTCTTTTATCGATAGAACAAATCAAGAAGCCATAGGCTCTTCACCACTTTCAGAATAGATTATTAGGTTGTTTGTGAATTCAAGATTAGGGAAATAAGTAACCAAAAATAAAGTTGCTAATTCAAATACTGTCATTGCCACATCCTTACATGTTAATTTTTAAAGGTAAAATTATAACACTGTAAAAACCCATCCATTATGAATTTTTCATAATATTGAGGCAGGATAGTAAAAAGCTAGGGAAATTCCTTGGCAAATAGAATGGAGAAACTGAGACAGATGGCTGAACAAACTGGCCAAGCAACTTATAGCCAGTTGCAGAAGTCAGCTCCCTGGAGATAACATCTAGGCCTCAGCTGTATTTCAGCTCCAGGCCCAGAAAAGAGGCAAAACCAGGTGGGTGACACCAGGACCAGCTGCAATGACTAATGACTCCTGCCCTGGCACTGACCAATCAGTAGAGACCATGACCCTGAAAGGGCACACCTGGAAAACTAATGAATATTCTGCTGAAACCCTCTCCTGAAACCTTTAAAATTCCTGCCACCAAGAGAGAGAGAAAACCCCCAAGACAGAGGACCCAGCCCGTTCTCTCCCTCTGGGGAGCATGCCTACACCTTTTCTTTTCCCTTCTTCTTCCCCAATGGGCATGCATCTCCCAAACTTTAAGGATCCCCATGAGACTTGCAGTGGGCAGTGGCAGCTTGTTCTGTCCCAGGCTAACCTCCTGAACCTGTCTCCAGTACCTACTTTTCTCTGACTTCTCAGTGAGCTACAGCAGCCCCACCTGGGCTCATTTTTTCCTATGACATTTTTAGAGAGCCAAAGCAGCCAGCCTAGGTCTCTCCTGTTGCTTGTTCTATACTAAGCCCTTTCTTGTTTCACTGGCCTCAGCTTCAATAAACCTGCTCTCAATCACCTGGACTCCTGTTGTGAAATCTCTCCTGCATGAAGTCAAGAACCCACACACTACTGGCTAGCCGTAGGCAGACCTCCTCAGGACCAGGTCCCCTGACCAGTAACAGTATAAGCATGCATTGTAATTAAGTTAATGTTTTACGGCTAAAATCTAAGACCAGAAACTCAGTTCTATATTATATGCTCTTAGTTATATGACCTTGAAAAGTTTCTTTTAATTAGCAAAAAAAACAAAAACAAAAACAAAAAAAAACCCACCCAACAAAACCTTTCCCTCACAGGACACTTGGAATTATTAAATATTTAGATAGTACCTTTACCCCCCCTTTACAATATCATAATTGTTTTTTCTAAAAGGACGAGTATTTCCATTTTAGGATGTGAATTTCTAATCTTATAAAAAACACCATTTGGTGCAAAATGTAACCTAAGAAATGAGTGGGTCAATTTTACAATAATGATTTAGAGCAATAAAAACAATCTTTTCTTCCTTCTTTTCGTTAGGACTTGGTAATACGGAAGTATAAGATGGTTGTTCTGAATTAGGAGGGTTTCTTTAAATACTATTGCCTCTAGCACCTATGAAATAACTTGTCCTGTAACATTTATGTAGGTCATTATTTGGGGTTCTCAACTCTTATTTTTCACCTTAGTTTTATACATTAGACAGCCCGAAGTTAGACTATGGTGAGGTGTAAAAGATCTTTGTTGTTCTTCACTCATTGGGGTAAACTGGTGGTTGACTGAAGTGTGGTCTTCCTAATAATGGTTGTCAGGTGAATAGATTCCAGGTTTTTCTGGAGCTTTAGCTTATTATTTCTCCCTGTCCACCCCACCCCAGGTTATATACACTGTTTGGTAAAAAACTCTTGGTGAATGGAATAGTCTTACTCCTTTTCAAATAAGTCATCTTATTAGCTAGCCTTGAGGCCACAGCCTCAAAGCAGCACTGCCAGTATATGGGTAGGTGGGTTTTTATGTATCCTGAGCTAACGTGAACAGCTACCAGCAATGAACACAAGTGAATGGAATGTAAATCTAAGTGATTATAATTTTATATCAGTGTAACCAGTGATTGTCTTATCAAGTAGTGAGACAGAGAGAGTGGAGATAGTAGGAATGTCTATTGCCACAGTATTAAAGTTTATGGGAGTATATAATCACCAACTGTTTACTAAGCATCTCATGCTAAGTAAGCTGTGGGGATAAAACAAAAGAATATATGAGACATTCTCAATCATGTGTCACCTAGAGTGCTTATATCAGCATTGGAAGGAAAGAACTACAATCTCTACATCAACGCAGTTGCGAGAATTACAACATGATTTGAAAAGTGAGAAGAGTAACTGTAAAAATATCAATTGAATACCCATTGACACAAAGCAGTTTCTTTGCTTTAAGCGATATTACTTTTGAGTCTTTATAAAAGGTGGTGGTTTATACACATTACTCCTTAAAAATCCTCTTAACCCCTGATTTTCTAGTTATGCAGAACAAAAATTTGAGAAGCTTATTTCCAAGCTTCCTCGCCTACTCCTCCCTACCCCAATCAACTTAGTCCCACCTGGAACAAAGAGCACTTCCCTGTGGAAGTGACCCTAATTATTCCAATTAAACAAAAAACTATAGTGAAGGAGTCAGTTCATGGAATACACCCCCTGACTCCCACCCGCACCCCCACCCCTGGGCAGCTTTGCTTTGGATACTCCAATTAGCCACCACAGCAAAGGCTGTCGCTAGGTGGCCGTTAGAACGCCGATGCCCAAGGCCCCGGGGTCCGGGTCCGCTGCCCGCCCGCGGCGCCAGCAGGGACTGCCCGGCGTCCCCCAGCCCGGGCGCAGTTTCAGGGCGCGACCCGCCGGTTGCCGGGCGACGCTGTGAGGCCCAGTGTGTGAGACCATGAATCAGGTGCGGGGAGGTTATCTGAGGAGGAGGCGTTTGGCAGCGCAGGGGGCTACCTGGCAGGATGTAAGTGCAGCTGGGGTAGCCCTAAGCCAGGCGGCGGGTGGGAGGCCGCCCTGCCGCCCCGACCCGGCCCGCGGCGCCGCGGCACCCGGGGCCCCTCTGCGCTCCTGCCCCGCTGAGCCGCCGCCTGGGCCCCGGGTGAGCGGACTCACCGAGACGCGGGCTCGGTGCGTACGAAAACAAAAACTGTGGAATTGTATTCGGCACAGGCCAGAAAGGATTCTGGCTCCCTGCGCAGATACTTAGGTGTTTATGGAAGTCCCAGCTCACCAGCCCAGAGATAAAGAGCTCTCCTGCGTGGGAAGCAGTCCGGCTCCGGGACCGACCCGGAGAGGCAAGGCGGGTGGATCGGTAGCAAAGAACGGGGGAGCGGGCTGGAGCGGGGTGGGGCGTGGGGCGGGGGTACAGTTTGCTAACTGTTCTTTGCTAACTTCCTCGGAAGGGTGGTCAGTGTTAGAGCAGGCTTCTATTATGAGTGTCTCTACTATTAGATCGAGGCTGTCCGGGGCATCGTTTATTGTGGTTTGAGCCCAAATTAATCGGTCATTGGTTACGATGGGCTTTGAGACAGTGCAGGCTAAGTTTTGTAATTTCCCTTCTGAAATTACACCTAAAAACCAGCAAAAAGGAGAAAATCCCGGCTTCAAACTAAAAAAAGAACTCCCTTTAACAGTCTATATCTTTATGGAATAAAAAGCAACTAGTGGGAAGTACTGTTAAATGTTTATTATGACTTGTGGATTGTAAATTGAACTTTTAATCATTTTTTGCTGCAATCGTTTTATTTTACAGCAGTCAGGATTACGATTAGGCATGTGGTACTGGAAAGATGAAACCAAAACTCTTGAATTCAGAAGGTACATTTTAATAAAACTTTATTATAGCATTTCTAAAAAATACATGTGCTTATGGTAAAAAAAATAATAAAGCAATACAAAGGGTATAGAGAATAAAATAAATATCCACTCAAATCCCACCAATGTTAAGCCTCTCAATGGCAGGAACTATGTTATTCATCTTCTTGACACTGGAGCCATCTGATGAACTTCATAAATAGACATTCACCAAATGTTTATTGTTCAGTAAACCAACTAGATTTCAAGCAGAGAAAGACTAGAGGCAGGGAAACAATGAGAAGGTCAGTTGTAGGAGGATTACAAATAGTTATACAGGTTTAAAAAAAAAAAAAAAGGACCAAGTCTGTGTTGGTAGCAATGGAGAGAAGGGTGCAGGATTAAGAGACACTTAAAAGATTGGATGGACAGGATATTTGGATAGAATTGATAGAATGTGGTGTCTGGGTGTGAAGCAGGTGTTTAGATTGACCCCCAGGTATGTGGCTTGGATGGCTGGGGTTGCCCTTCACCCATACACAGAGTAAAAAAGGCAAAGCTGGTGATGTGTTTAAGGATGTTATGCCATGTCCACATGGATATATCTTTTAGACAGCTGGACAGATGGGGCTAGAGGCCAGGAAAGGAGTTGGCTAAGCAGATGTGATTTACAGTTACATTGTATTTAATGTAAATTAAATATCAATAATTTAAAGGCTAAACACTACATTTGAGTCATAATCAAAAGTATATTTTATAGAGTATCTATTTCAGGATTTGAGTAATCTGTCATTTCCAAAGCAGTGATTGTTCAGTTTTGTTCTCAGATATGTCAGAGAAAATTCTGTTGAGTAGCTCCTGAAACATCACACTCATCAGGTGTGAGATAGACAGTGAGAAGGAAAGACAGCAAGATAGCTTTGGGATTAGACAGACAAAATATACTTTAAAGCACAAGAACATATGGAAATAAACTTTAAAGTGCCAACATTTTTTTAACCTTCACATATATTTAAAGGCCATCTCAATCCTCTCTTTTATGATGAAAATTGGACCGTATTTTTTACTTACTGACCTTCTTTGTAAATTAATTTGTAGAATTTTTCAAACTAATCTTCAATACTAATCTAATAAGGACCCACCACAAGTGGCACTGTTTCCTATATGAGCAAACAAACAAATCCACAGATATCAATTTTACTCTGATTTTCTTATTCATAAAATATTCATATTCATAGACTAATAATTTGGTTCACTACCAAATTATTCTTTGAAAATATCTTGATTGCTTTCCACTAATTTTGGAGAATATACATGGGATGATTGAGGTAAAAGGTAAAGTATATGGCATAATGTTGAACAAAAAAAGGCCAGACACAAAAATGTAAATACTGAAGGCTGAGACACACAAGCCTTCAAAGGCAAAAGAAAATTTCCTAAGAAGAGGGATTGGAATGGAGAGTGGTCAGCAATGTTAGATGCTGGAGAGAGCTTAGGTTGGGGCAAATACTAGACAGGAGCCTTTCTTTGGATTTAACAAGTTAGGGATTGCTAAGGACCTAGGTGAGCAACAGTTTCAGGGGTGCAGTAGGGTGGAAATTAGATAAGGGGAGAAATTGGATGAGGAGAAAATCTGAGATAAAGATGAGAAACTAGCAAAATAGAGTACTCCTACAACTAAATTTACCAGTGAAAAGGGAAAGAAAGAGATGGTAATCTTTAGGTGGCCCAGTACCAAGGAAAGGAGATTTTTGGTGGTTCTGTATTAGGAAAACTGTTTGTTTGGGGAGAAAGAAGAGATGGAAGAGAAAAGAAGGAAGGTAGGAATAGGACCAACGTCCCAGGTTAGCTTGGAAAAGACAGAAGCAGTTTTTCCACTGTGCATGATGGGAAGGAGGTAATATGATGGGACAGCATGGGACTTTGAAAGTGCAGGGAGGGATATCTATGCTGCTGTCCTTACTGAAAATAAACAATAGGAAGGAGAATCTTGGGTAGCGCCATTGCTGACCCTAACTCTTCTCCTGAGATTGCTGCTCCCCTTGGGACTCATTCACCAGTAACTGCTACCACTGCTGCAGTGGGCTGGGCTAGGGCAGAGGAAAACCACATCCACCCAAGTACCCTGACCCAGTACCCAAATGGGACCGTTGCCTGAAGTTGAGAAGATAGGGACGGCTTCCCAGGAGAGATAATAGCCAAGCCAAGACCTGAGGAGGAGGAGTTGACAAGGCAAAGGGAGATTTGGTTGGGAAGGAGGGGAGTGCATTCTCAGAAGGAGCAGCACGTGCAAAAGCCCAGTCTTGAGAGGGCATGGGACATGTTTAGGACTGCAGGTAGTCAAGCAGGCTGGGTATAGAGTTCCAAGTGTTTAGAGACAAAGTAGACCAGGGCAGGATAATGAAAAGTCTTGCTTACAATGCAGAGGAAGTTGACATTTATTCAGAGGGTTCAGGGGAACCATCAAAAGCTTTTAAGCAGGTAAGTAACCTGTGATTAGAATCACATCTTAGGAGAATGACTGTGCCTGTGGCATAGAAAATAGCTTGGAGGAAGACAAGACTGGAGGCAGGGAGATTAATTAAGAAGCAATTGCAGAAATTTAGTTGCTAGATGGTGGTGGCTAAAATTAATGTGGTGGCAGAGGGAAGAGGGGAGTAGACAAGTGATTAGTGGACTGTGAGAGCTCAAGAGTAATAGAGAAGTCAAGGATGGCACATTTACTGCCTTGGACACCTGGGTGGGTGGTGGCACCTCTTTGCTGAGATGGGGGACATAGGAATAGTGAATACAAGTGAAAGGGGAATGAGTTCGGTTTCGGACATACTGAGTTTGAGGTGTCTATAGAGTGTGCATGCAAAGGTGTCCAACAGGCAGATGTATGAGTTTCTGTGTCTGCAGAAAAATCTAAGCCTTACGTTCGAATTAGTTGAGTAGATGAAACTACTCAGAGGAACTGAAGAGAGTAAACTAAATAGAACCTTGAGATATAGGCCCTCTTTTAGTGAACGTAATTGGGAGGAGGGGCTGTAGGAGACTAAAAGAACAGCCAGAAACAGGGAGAAAAATTTGGAGTGTCATGAGTCCAGATAATTGCTTTGCAAAGTAACAGCTTGATCTCAGGGGCATTCACATTCTGTCTGAAATCTCTGCCTTGATTTCAGTCTCCTTCTACATAGGGTAGGCCGCTTTTTACACCTGCCAGCTAGCAGGAGTTTGCAGGCTTCTAGGTATTCTCAAGTTGACATCAAGAAAAGACAATCCCTTTCCTCTCTCCCACCTTGCATTTCCTCGCATCTTTCCTAGATAAATGACTCTGGAAATCTTACCCTTCAGAGAAGACCTAGCACCCTATTAACAGGCAGATCTTGCCTTACCTTTTCAGATTATACTCTGAGGGAGATAACTATCAGGATACAATAGGATACCCATAACCTCCATGCAAGAAATGGACACACAGTAATGGACACACAGTAACGGACAGGGAAAATGGTCTTTCTTTCTTTTTTTTTTTTTAATATTTTATTTATTTATTTTTTAGAGAGGGAAGGGAGGGAGATAGAGAGAGAGAGAAACATCAATGTGCGGTTGCTGGGGGTTATGGCCTGCAACCCAGGAATGTACCCTGGCTGGGAATCAAACCTGGGACACTTTGGTTCCCAGCCCATGCTCCATCCACTGAGCTACGCCAGTCAGGGCTGGTCTTTATTTCTTAATAGGCAGGCAAGAAGGAAGAGACAGTGAAGAGTGGTTTGCAGGGAGACCTGGGTTCGGATCCTAGCTCTCCTGATTGCTAGGTGGTTATCATTTGTCAAGTTAGTCTTGCTGATATCAGCTCTCTCACCTATAAAATGGCATAATAATGCCTCATGAGGAATAAATGACAAGTGTTGCATAATTTGTCAGCATGCATGCCCATTTCATATTTGTTACGGAGGGAATACCTTTATTCTCAGGCCACATCTAGGTTGGCCCATGAGGCGTGCTTCTCTCTGACACAGTGTCAGCAGTCCTGTCCATTCTTGTTTCAAGTGCCCCTCCTCCCAGCAGCCTGTATCTTTGCCAAGGTCATTGGCTCCCCTGAGGACATACATAGGAAACTACACCTCCAAAAGCCCCGCTTTTCTCTTGCTTTTTCATTGTGGCCCAAGAGAAGACTGCTAACTAACCACTGAAGAGCTGTAGCTTGTGTGGAAGCCAAGAGTAGTCTACATTTTAGTGGTGAATTCTACAGGAAAAATATGATTTTTTTCTCATTTATTTCAGGGCAAAGGGAACAACGTGATTATGTTGTAATATTAAGAAAACACATTAACCAAATGCAGTCTGTGAAAGGACCAGATTCTAAATGGGTTGTCAGATTGAGGGGGAGGCTGTGGAGGCTGTAGGAGGGCACAGAACTAGCTCAGACTGCGGTTGGCGGCCAATTAGAGGTGCAGTTCACAGGACAGTTTTCAGTTATTACTACTGATGTTTTTAGTGACTCCAGCCAAGTGTACTGAGATTGTAGGCTACGGCAGGGCACTCACAAAAAAACCCATCTCACCAGAGGGTTAAAGAATGACTTTGGTCAGGTGAAAAGCTACTCAGACAAGCGTGAAGTAGGAAAGGCCTGTCCAGAGGGTAGTGAATAAGGACTAGAGGTTTAGCAGCAAATGACAGACTATCGGCTAAGGACAGGCACTGCCTGACACAGATTTCAAACCATGAGACATGGGTCACTTCTCTAAGCCTTTGTTCTCCACCAGTGAAGTGACAACCATGCACTACCATGACAACCGTGATCTTTTAGATGTCCTCTAACCCCAAGGTTTTGATTTTGTGATTCTAAGTTCATTTGACTTGGTTCATAGACCTGATCTACATTATAGTCCCAAATAAATTCTTTCAAATTTCTTATTTTAGGGTACTCTAGCCTCGAGTTATCTCGGGCAAACTAATAAGGCAAGAAAGTTTGAATTATAGGGATGGGACCGAGAAGAGGGTACTCCATAAATCAAAAAATTCTTCCAAATGTACGAGCTTTGCTTCTTGTGAAGTTACTACCATGTTTTCAGATGAAATCATTTTGTGTAGGATGGCATTCTGGAGGCTGCTGATATGGAGAGGCTGAATATAAAATCTGAAATTTTAGTCCTTTTCCAGATGATTATTCCATATGTAAATGTATAAGTGGAGTAATGCTGTGTCTCAAATTCTCTTCAAGCTCCTCTCATAATGTGTCCTAGCCCTGAGATTACATAAGCTACGGTCATGATATGATTCCTTTTCCCTAGGAAAAGGAGAAGTTCCTCATTCTCTCATTTCTATTACAGTTTTACACCTGCCATAGAACTCAAGGAAAAAGCAAAGAAAGGCAAAGCAGTTCACTTTGCTGAAATTGATGGTGGAGCTGCAGACAGGTATCTTAACTTTCCAGCCATGTTAGCACTCCTCGGCAGAATGAGTTAAGCCTTTACAAACTTGAAGAAAATATCATTCCCATTCTCTTAAGTTGAAGTGCAAATACCCATCAAGTAAAGAACATACACTATTTCATAATTATGGTGGGAGTTACAATTGTCCCTAGAAATGTATTCCTGTTATAATTTGCTTATTAGCAAATTTTTAGCTTTTTATACTTTTTTTTACCTGAAAATAGTATCTATACTGTAAATAGATGATTTAAATGATCTACTTTGGATGGAATTAGTTTTTACACTTTATGTCAGGTGGTGTGCATCCCTCGTACTCATAGTATGGTACACATAATGTTTAATAAAACATATTCTGAAATGATCCCACCTTAAACAAAACCCAAGACTGAGACTTAGGCTCTTATGACTTTGTAGTAAGAGCCTCATCCACCTCAGGATAGATTAAATACAACTAAAACCTTTTAAAGCACTATCAGAGACTGTTACATTCTAAAACAGGCTGACAGATAAAAGATTTGCCTCAAGAGATGCTAAGTCACTTCAAGCCTTAGAGAAACGAGGCCAGCAGGGCAACGTTACACTGCAGGATGCCAAATGTGAGTAGCTGCTCCCTCCTCCTGCATCTCACCTGGTGAGAGTCTCCGAGGAGCCCTGTGTGCCTCTGTCAATTGTCCATCTTCTTTTTCAGTTGTGGCTTTGCTTTTGCTACAAGAGACTGAGATGCAGCGGATCTGTTCGTTTACAACTTTTATGAAGTACGTGATGCTTGTGAGACATTTGAGATCTTTTATTCTCTATTTTAAAGTAATTATGTCTGATAAATGATGACAAATCTGATTTTTGGAGAAAGGCCCTGGGCCTGGTTCTGTGCAAGCTGTCCTCTCAGGGACCCAGGCCAAAAGAGAGGAAGCCGGAAGTCACAGGAGGCCACACTCAGATCCCAGGACAAGGGGTTTGGAGAGCATATTGTCAGAGTTCCATAAAGGCTGAACTCTATTGATATTACTGTTCAAAGGTGTACTCATTTACTAAAGGTCAGTAGCCCCCATAAGCTGTGTTTGGCAGCCCCAAAAGTATTAGGTGTGTGGCTCTGGGTGAGCTTCAGGGTTCCTCAGATACAAAATTTAAGTAGCAGTGTCTCATGGCTGTTAATGGACGCTGTTTCATGTGGCACCTGCACTCGTGAGTGCTCAATGAGAGTTGGGTCCCCAAGGCCTTTGGCAGCCCTCCCCAGTTCCCTCAACACCCAGTGGAGCCTGCTTTGGCAAACACCTGACATTCTCTGTCTGAAGCTTTACTCCTTGGAGCACACTCAGTCTGACTACAGGGCAAGCAAGGAGCTCCGGGGCAGTGGTCCTCAACCTTTTTGGCACCAGGGACCAGTTTGGTGGAAGACAATTTTTCCATGGACCTCGGGGTGGGGTAGGAAATGGCTTCATATAGCCTGCCACCAGATTCAGTTTAATCAACACTTGCCACTCACTGATAAGGTTTTGATATGAGTCTGCAAGCAATTGGTTTATTATGGTCTCTGTGCAGTCAAACCTGTCTGCCAGTGATAATCTGTACTTGCAGCCACTCCACAGCGCTAGCATCACTATCTCAGCTCCACCTCAGATCATCAGGCATTAGATTAAGGAGTGTGCAGCCTAGATCCTGCATATGCTCAGGTCACTGTTTGGTTGGCACTCCTACAAAAATCAAGTGCCACAGCTGATCTGACAGGAGGCAGAGCTCACACTGTAATGTGAGTTACAGGGAGCAGGTGTAAATATGAATGAAGTTTCACTTGCCTGCCACTCATCTCCTGCTGTGATGTGACCAGGTTCCTAACAGGCCACGGGCTGGTACCAGATAATGGTCCAGGGCCAGGGGGTTGAGGATTCCTGCTCTAGGGGATCAGTGCCCCAGAAGCGGCCTTTAGTCTGTGATGTGCCAGAGAGCGAGCTGGTAGATGAATATCCCAGCCTCCATCTGTGAGGATAACTTTGAGAGGTTTTCTGCCCTGTCTCCCAGAGTCCCTTACAGGAATGGACTGCATTTGTCCACAGTGATAATGAACTTGTCAACCTCTTCGTTGGCTTTCTTCTCTTTTCTGTCTCACGTCCCCAATCTCCTACTGATGTTTCCTGAGATCTCTTTCCAAATATACTACTTACTTTTGGCTCTTTGTCTCAGGGTCAGTTTCTGGGAAAACTCAACCTAAGACAGGTGGTTATTAATATCCTAAAAAAAATATGCAGTGCTTGCCTTTATCCTGCCCTCAAGGCACAGTTAAGGAAAGAATGCCAGACTAAGAATTTCTATGTGAGTTTAGAAAGGAAGCAGGAAAAGTCTTGTAAGAATATGTGGAAAGAAAACAATGACTTCTAGTATAAAAACAAATGAGAAAGGATTGTAAATCAGTGCACTTTTTTTTGGAAAGTGCATAAGACTTATGAAACTTTAATATAAATATATACTATGTCCTAGCAATTTCATGTAGGAAGTTACTCAGAAATATGATTATAATAATAATTACTGCAGCAATGTCTGTAATGTTTTTTTTTAAAAGATCTGAATATCGACCTGGCTGGTGTAGCTCAGTGGATTGAGTGCGGGCTGCGAACCAGGCATCGCAGGTTCGATTCCCAGTCAGGGCACATGCCTAGGTTGCAGGCCATGGCCCCCAGCAACTGCACATTGATGTTTCTCTCTCTCTCTTTCTCTCTCCCTTCCCTCTCTAAAAAATAAATAAATAAAATCTTTTTAAAAAAAGATCTGAATATCCATCAGTAGAAGACTAGTCACATAAGTTATGAAGTATAAAATATTTCAGCTGTTTCAAAGAGTGAGGACATTCTATCCATAGTATTTTGAAAAGAGGTCCTTGCTACACAGATGTAGGAGACAAAAACAAATTGTAAAGATTTGTATATACAGCATTATCCTGTTCGTTACCAAAATTAAGGTGTATTCCTGGGTATATATGTGTGTTGGTGTGTGGGGGGTACCTTGTATGTATGTGATTGTCTATGCTTTAGAAAGTTTAAGAAGGATTCATAACAAACTGGTAACCGTGGTTACCACTAGGGAATAGGATGGTGACAGAGAGGTGAGAGGAGAAAACTTTTTTACTTGCTACATTTGTGTACATTTTTTTAAACAATGGAGAAATATCACTTGTATAATAAAACATTTTTATCCTCTCTCAAGGACAGGCTTATTGATTTTAGAGAGAGGGGAAGAGAGGGAGGGAGGGAGGAAGGTAGAGAGAGAGAGGGGGAGAGAGAGGGAGAGAGAGAGAGGCCGCAGAGACAGAGGGACATCAATTGGTTGCGCCCCAACTGTGGATGGATCCCACAGCCTAGGTATGTGCCCTGACTGGGAATCAAACCCAAGACCTTTCAGTTCACAGGGCGATCCTCCAACCAACTGAGACATAGGGGCCAGGGCCAAAACTTCTTAAAATTTAAAACTATCTGATAAGCAAAACTTATCAACTTCAGTTATCAATTATCAAAATTATAATTTAATGTCTGACCTTCCAGAAAGTTTTGTTTACAAAAATCAGATTTCTTACATCTTAAACAGTATAGTAATAGAATTTTAAATGGGAAATTAGTTGTGTGATAGGCATTATACCATGTTTCTACTTACTATGCTGTGTGTTCTTACATATTTTTATGAGAAACTTATGTTTGACATATATGTTAATTTCTGTTTTTTCCATCTCCCTATAGGAATAAGAACCTTGACAATTTCCTCATGGCATTATTGTACTATCTATCTCATTTCTTGGAAAAAATGTCACTGGAAAAGAAGCCCAAGAGCTGTATGGTGTAAGTAGGATTTTGTAATGTCTTTAGAGTTTCATCACTACCAGTATTAAAACTAACTTTTGTCTAGGGTGACGAGGTGATGGAAAATTTTAAGTATTTGTAGTAAACCAAAACATTTTACTTGGGAGAAGTTCACCAGTTTTTAAAGCCCACTGAATAATTCAGGTGGATATTTGGGTAAGAAAATATTGCAAATAATATAGACAAACACTGCCTAATAGAAATATGAGAGCCACGTGTGTAGTTAAAAACTTTTTGGTAACCTTATTTTTAAAAGGTAAACAAATACAAGTGAAATTTATTTTATTTAACCGAATGACGCAAGTCAACATTAGGTAGTTATTGATGAAATACTGCACTACTTTTTTGTAGTAAGCCTTTGAAAGTTGGTACGTATTTTATACTTAGACCATACCTCAACCTCTACTAGCCACCATGAGTGTTCAGTAGCCACGTGTAGCTCATGGCTACCGTAGTGAACAGTTCAGATATAGATATTATTTGTATGCTTTTTCTTGCTAATGGGTTTGTAAGCATCTGATTAAGAAACTAACAATTAGTCCTGGTCAGGTGGCTCTGCTTGTTGGAGCATTGTCGCCTACACCAAAAGGTCGCAGGTTGGCACATACCTAGGTCACAGGTTCGATCCTCGGTCAGGGCATGTACAGGAGGCAACCGATGGATGTTTCTCTCTCACATTGATGTTTCTCTCTCTCACTCTCTTCCTTTCTTTCTCCCTAAAATCAAAACATATCCTCGGTTGAGGATTAAAAATGTTTTTTAAAACCTAAGAATTATCCCTGGCTGGCATGGCTCAGCGGATTGAGCACCGGCCTGCAAACCAAAAGGTCACTGGTACGATTACCAGTCAGGGCACATGCCTAGGTTGTGGGCTGGGTCCCTGGTGGGGGGTGTATGAGAGGCAATCACACATTGGTGTTTTTCTCCCTCTCTCTCTCCCTCTCTTCCCCTGTCTCCAAAAATAAATAAATAAAATCTTTTAAAAAACCCTAAGAATTAAAAAGAATTAATAGATTTAACCAAAATAATATTCCATATCACAGGAAAAAACCCCACAACATTTCTTAGGCTACATATGAAGAACGTAACTGCTTTACACAGAGGTGGCTCAGAGCTCTACACCCGGGGCGAGAATCTGGAACTGAGTCTAGAGCGGAACAATGCCTCTCAGGCTTGGTGACCTTTCAAAAGCCATGGAACTTTCCAAGTGCCCGGGCTGCCCTCTCCAGCACATGTGGAACCAACCCAGTGATTTAGCTGTTAGGAATGCTGGTAGAGTCATTAATCTGTTGCTGCAGAATGTTTTCATTCAGCAAAACATTCCTCGTATACAGCCAAGCAGCTTGATTTTATGGACAGATAAAGGTATCTGGACAGCAGTTTTGTAAAGAACCGAATAAATAATTCAAACTCTGCTGCTCCAGTAACGCCACCGTGATATGCATCCTCCGTGTTATTTCAGGGCTACATTTCACAGCAGGGCACCCAGAGATCGTAAAGTGTTTCTGTGAGAGCGAGTGGAAGGGCTCGAGCCAACTGTGGGCTCAGGAGGTCTGAGGGTCTTACTGTTCCCAAAAAGGGACTTGTTAGATTTTGCCGACACGTTGGCTTATGTTTTGTAAGTGTTTTCCCTCCTAGTTCTGAGGATTATTGTTAATATAGCAGAGAGATTTGTTTCATGTCTTAGTTTATAGGAATAGAAAACAAAAGAAAGGTTTCTTAGTTATTTAAAAACCCACAAAAACGTGTTAGAACACAGTGGTGTAAGGCAGGCTTTCACAGAAGGAATCAGTCATAGAATGATTAGAAAAACAAGCCTGCTCTCTCTTGGGCACACGGTGCCTTCCCCACACCTTCTGTCCTCAGATGTGTATTTTTGCTTTCTCCGAGGGACCAAGGGTTCCCACAGACTTGCAACCAGGGTAGCAGTGTGCCCCAGGCTAATCCTCTGAACCCGTCTCTGAGGGCCCTCCTTTTGCCTCTGTAAATTGTTTCCTGAGTCCGTGCAGCCCAGCCGGCTCACTGCTTCTGCCTCTGTGACTTTGTTTCTTGAGGGCCAAGGCAGCCTCGCCTAGGCTCGACTCTTCCCCACATTTCCAAAGGGCCACGGCAGCTCTGCCTAGACGCTCTCCTATTGCTACCATCTTGCCTCTTCTATTTTAAGCTCTTCCTTTGTTTCACTGTCCCCAGCTTTAATAAAAGCCCTTTCAAAATAAAACAACAACAACAACAAAACACAAGATGTAAAGTATTGATTCTGCGGTGTGATTCTAAAAAGTTATGGTAAATTTATTTTCAGGCTTCTAGTAGTCTGTTGGTTTATTTATTGTAATAGAAATAAATATAGATTGCATTGAGATATGTGGACATAAATAACTTTAAGGAAAAAAATTGATTTTAGTCAAACTAGGGAGTATAACATAGGGATAACAATAACACCTTTCACAGAGTAATAATGCATGTTATCTTAACCCAGTGCTTGGCACTTGGGAGGAAAGCCTGTAAACCGTGAGAGAGGAGCAGAAAGCGATACAGGAGGACAGCAGAGACAGTTTGAGGGGTTTAGATGATTAAAACCCTTAATTGCAGAAGAAGGAAGAAGCCCTATCCTCATTTTATAGATGAAGAAGCTAAGCCTCAAAAAGTTAAATAACGGGCTGGCGATTACATGCCTGTAATTGATGGAGCTGACATTAAGCCCCAGGTCTGTCTAACTCGAAAGCCTGTGCCTGAACCACTGTACACTGTGCCCACCGCCTGCTACCAATCAGCTGTGCTCCTTTTCCACAGTTCAACCATTCATGGTTAGGAGGTACAGTGTATAGATGTTGCTGTGAACAGCGCCGTGTCCATCTCTGTATCCCTGCTGTTGTTGTTTGTTAAGTTTCCATCATGAGGACTCTGACCTAACTAGTGTCAGCCAGCACCAAAGCCCCAGTTAATGTTAGCTGTGTCCTGTAAACTTACACAATGTAGTCATAAATATTCCTGTCAATGAACTGTCAGAATGGCATAGCAACTCAGGTGAATATCAAACTAGGTGTTGTCATCAATTCTAAGCCAGTCTCCATCACAGACCACCAAGAGATACTGTTCCTGGTTTGCACTGCACTCTTTCCTCTTTGTCTCGTCAGTCACATTAGTGGGTCAGCTGTACTGTAAAGTACCAGCTGTAATAACTGTGGCGGCAGAGGTTAGCTATGCTGACTCACACCACTGTGTTGCCTGTCTGCTCCAGGCTTACCCTTTGTAAGTAACTTGCCCTACAACAAATTCTATTATTATTAATGGACTTGCCTGGTTTGTTTTTCAGTCTTTTTTCCCTTTTTTATTGTATTTTTTCCCATAACTATTTATCCTCCTTATATCCCCTTCCCCTGCCCCCACATCATTTTTCAGTTTTAAGATACCCCTGTGGTTCAGTGGTCACTGTACTTTCCTTCCACCTTCAGACATATAGTTTCTGAACAAAGGCACAATTATGTATGCAGTTGTTTAAATGTATGTAGTTTTAAATACTATGTCATAAGTATTTTTGTTATTACAGTCTTCATAATTATAATTTTCAGTAATGACATAACATTCCATCAAGCTCATGTATGTTATTGGCTTACTGACTTCCCTATTAAGAAACAGTGTGTGTAGTGGTTAAGGGTATACAGACTTCGGTGAATGGCTTACATGTCACAGGGAGTCATATGTTAGGTTAAACAGTACATGGCTACTTGCATGTAGTAATACAGGCATGTTACTACTGCCTGTATTACTACTCACTTCACCCCTCTGTTTTTATATATTTGGGGAGTTTCTAGTTTTTCCGGTAGACAGAAGACTAATGAGCCCTGCCTGGTGTGGCTCAGTGGATTGAGTGCCGGTGTGGGAACCAAAGATTCATGATTGTATTGAATATCGTCATGCATTAGATGTTCCCCTAATTTTGGGATGATTTTTAAAAAGAATATATTTCAGGAGAGATTACTGGATTAAAGTTTATGATCAATTGTATCATACTTAAAATAATTGCTAGTTTTTTTTTCCCCAGAGGATTATACCTGGGCTTGTTTTAGAATGTTCTACCCCAACCTGAACCAGAGTCTTTGAGGGGAAATGGCATTGAGAATCTGCACTTTTAGCAAGTAACCCCAGGCGATTCTTACATATTTTAAACCTTGAGAACCGTTGGCTTAAAAGTCTCAAGGTGTTTCTTGATTGCTATTGTTTGGTTTGGTTTGTTTTGTTTACAACAAAAGAAGAATATTAGTTTCTGGCAGCTATGGCAAAGCAGGGGTGGGCGGTGAGAGGGGTCTTCTGAAGGAAACGGAGGCAGGCGCAGGGGTGGCCACTGCGGGGCTTGTGGGGATGTGCGTTATATGAAATGTGGGCATTTAAAGTTGAAACCCAATTTATCTCTTCCAGAAACTCATTTCATTTCAGCCACTCACAAGCCTTCTCATCACATGTGATCATGTTTTGTGCTTTGAACTATCTGTATTATTCTCACTCCCACCCCTCCTCCTAGCATATCCTCATGTGGTCAATCTACTGCCTAAGGTCAGAGGGGGCAATAATTTGTCCCTGTTGTTCACAGTGCATTTCACTTGGTTTAAACCTTTCTGAAAATTAAGTAAAGGAAAAAAGCTAGTGACATGTACCTTTTCTTTTCTTTTTTTTTAAGATTTTATTTATATATTTTTAGAGAGGGAAGGGAGGGAGAGAGAGAGAGAAACATCAATGTGTGGTTGCTGGGGGTCATGCAACCCAGGCATGTACCCTGACTGGGAATTGAACCTGTGACACTTTGGTTCGCAGCCTGCGCTCAATCCACTGAGCTACCCCAGTCAGGGTAGACATGTACCTTTTCAATAGCAGTCATTGGAATGTATTCTGGCCAATACTGTTTCCTTTTATACTGCAGAAGCTTCTAAAATTAGGCTTCAGACTTGTTGTAACCTAACAGGCTGTCTTTTAAAGTTCATTTGCAATTCAGTTGGCCCGGGGTGTGTTCTCATCGAGAGGTTGTTGTAATGGATGTCGTAGTTTCAGAGTAGTGGTCCACAGATGCCTGCTTAGCAGACGCAGAGGCAAACACTGAGCCCTCGCCCTTGGGAGGAACATGAGGAACCCAGGGGAAGCTGAGGTGGGAGTCTCCATGGTTGTTTGAGCAAAACAGCAGGGAATTGGGCTGCCAGCTGCTGCAAAAATCAAGATCGGTAATAAATTAGGACTTTCTGTCTATAAAATTAAGGGTACATGGCATAAAGTATAAAGAATCTATTAAAAAGTGAACACTCTCCAAAAACTCGAGATGCCGAGGATGATGATGAAAATCAAAGGTGTTTGAAGACCTTTGCCACAGCTTGAATAAAATGAAAGGATAAGTCAGATGTGTTGTATTTCTTTCACAATAGTTTATATTTCTGACTTTTTATTAATTACTACATGTATTTGCCAAAATTAATCCAATTATCATCTTTCTTTTCAGGGGCCTTGTAGAGAAAAAAGAGATGGAATTGGTTTTAAGTAAGTTAGAAGCGGCACAGAAATACTTGGCGCATAAGTACTGTGTCCTTGTCCTGGGCGTGGGGATGCCCGATAAGCATCACATGTGCTGCGGAAAGTAAGTGCACACTTAGAATTTCATTCCATCTTCACTTGTGTGTACATCCACATCCTTAAGACTGGTAAATTTGGCTTTTGGTGTCCTTGAGAAAGGTTCCTTTCTGGTTGGGCAGAATAGCTGGGCTCAGCATAGGCTCTGTCCCAAACACACGTGGTGTCTCTTCTGAGAGAGCCCAGTGAGCATGGGGAGAATCCCAGAATCTCAGCTGATATTTTAACAACCCTCTACTGCTTGGGATTCAATGTCTTTTCTCTCAGCATGTATCAGCTTAATGGAATCTCGCTCTCAACCAGGAAGGCTTCCTGCTGCCAGGCGAGGGCCACTTGGCTGCCTCCTGAGGGAGGCAAGTGATGGGTCAGTGTTGACGGGTGCATTGGGTGTGTCTCCTACCCTTTTGCTTCTTGTCTTCCAGCAGCAGTAGCTGTGGGTACAAACTAGTGAAGTGGGGGGTTATAAGATGACCCTGCTTGTGGGAAGGTAATTTCTACCTAAGATGACAGTTTATACACCACGGTATTTGAAATTTGAAAGCATCCATCACAGGAAAGTTTGGAGTCACGTTAGGGAAAGTGCCAATCCTTAACCCAGAATCTCCTTCTCCAAGTAGTTTCACCACAGGCTCAAGATCCACACACTGGGCATGGCCAGAACTGCTTTTTTTTTTTTTTTTAAATTTTTTAACTTTATAGGAAAAGAACCCAATACATGATTTCTCTGTCTCCACATTTTCAAAATACGGATGTTGGTATACAGATACTTTCCTTTGTTCTACATTTTCTATGTACCTTTTCTTATTATTCTGCTTACATTATTTCACCTGCCACTTTGAATAGCAACTGTAGTTATTCTGTGTGTATTATACCAGTTTGCTCAGACATTCCTTTTGTATACATTTGTGTGGTTTTCATTTTTCTGCATTGAATATCTTTATATAAATTACTTTGTTCATTTGGATTATTTTCTTATAGCTCATTACCCAGAATATTTACCTAGCAGGCAGGAGAAATTTTATAGCTCTTGTTACATATTGCCAGATTGTTCTCCAAAAAGGTGAAAACATTCCATGTCGCCATCAGCAATAAGCATACCTGGTTTTATTAGTTTAATATTTTTGATAGCTCAAAGGTATATAAAAAGCTTAAAGGTGCCCTTGCTAGTGTAGCTCAGTGGATTGAGCATGGTCCTGCAAACCAAAGAGTCGCCAGTTTGTTTCCCAGTCAGGGCGCATGCCTGGGCTGTGGGCCAGGTCCCTGGTGGGGGGTATGTGGAGAGCAGTCACACATTGATGCTTTCTCCCTCCCTTCCCCTCTCTCTAAAAATAAATAAATAAAATCTTTAAAAAGAGAAAAGCTTAAAGGTGTTTTATTTGACTTTGAATATATTTTAGTGTATGGAGTCTGTACTTTTTTTTCTGTGTAAAGTAATGTATCATTGCCTGTTTCACATCTAGTTTTAACCATTTATCAAGTAGAAACTGGGAATTTGTATAATATATGTTTTATATGGCAAGGGTTGGTCATTTGTTTTCTAGTTCCTTTTGATATTTATGTTTTTACACATAATGAAATGCTATAAATGTTTTATTTATTTGAACATTTCCACCTTGTTTCTGATGCTGGTAGTCATATTTCTTGCATTCCTAGGTTCACTGTTCATTCTTGGGTTAAAATCCTTACCTTTCTTTCTTAGTTTTTAAAAATAGGTTTTAAAGAAAATGTTAAAGTCCTTAATTCACTTGAAATTTATTATAGCTTGTAAGATCAGATGAGCTATGAATCTAAGATATTTTTTCTTTATTAGTATCTGACTTTCCAATAATATTTATTAGTGATTTTTTTCCCCACTGTAACTTTCTTGTTCATTAAATGTTGACTTTTTATAATATTTTAACCCATTTGGGGAAGTTCCTATGTAACCATATTGATCAGTTTTTCTGTTTGAAACACAGAACTATAGAGCTTACATTTGCTTTGCTTTATTCAATGACATCACTGAGTGCCTGCCCTGTGGTGGTTTTGGTGCTAAGGGCTGGGCAGGGTACAAAGACGATAGTCTCTGCCGTCAGAGAGCGTACAGTCTAACAGAGGAATCATCAGGCAAGAAAACTGGCAACTGGGAATAGGTGCGATACAGGTGTAGACAGAGGTTGGGCACCAAAGCAGAAGCAAGGAGGGGTGGACCTCCGGGGACTCAACTGTGGAGCACAGGCCATGAGCCAGACTGGGAAGGGGCGACCCAACAGCTGAAAACAAGGGCGCACCCCTGTTGCCTTCAGAACCCTTGTGTGTGGCAGTCTTGCTGGTTTGAGAGAAATTTCACTTTAATAAGGTTCTGAGATATCTACCAAGAACCTTTCATCGTATATTATATTTAAACCTATACATTAGTTTAGGACCGTGATTTTCAACCTTTTTTATCTCATGGCACCCAGAAACTAATTGCTAAAATTCTTCAACACACCAAAAAATATATATTTTTTGCTGACCTGACAAAAAAAGGTACAAGAAAATAGTAATAGTAATTGCTATACTTTTTGCTCCAAAGTGACTTTTTAAAAAATCAGGTGTCTATACTTGTATATAAGGACTTCTAGTACCAAGAATTAACCAATCAGCACTATTTTATTATTCAACATGTCTGATAAGATGCATCTGTATTATACGACCTATATATTTATGATTCAAGACAGGGCATTCACATTGGTGGGCTATTGTTTTGCTGGCTGTTGTCATTTTTTCATTTGACAATCTCAAGGAAAAGAGGTCAGTGCCCCTGACTAAGTAGTCAGGTATTACTTGCCTAAAAAATTTTTCAGTGTATCGGTGTGTGATGGCACACCAGTTGAAAATTGCTGGCTTAGGAAATTGTGACATCTTTACTATAGTACATTCTCTTAAAGAGCTGTAAGATGTATTTTTCATTTATTTATATCATTTTTAATTTTTCCCACTGAAGTTTTACATAATAATCTTTAAAGAAATATATGCATCTTAAGTTAGATTGGAACTCATGTATTTAATTTTTTATACCAATGTGAAGTTTTTGTTTATTTATTTATTTTTTAATGATACAAGTACTTCACAGACATATCCTGAGGGCAAAAAATTCAAACAATAGTTTTTACATATATATAGTTATAATTAGTATATAGAATTCAAAATAAAAGTTTCCTGCTCACTCTACCCTCCTCCGATCTCATTTCACTCCCCAGAAATAAACACTGGTACCTCTGGTTTTGTGTATGTCCTCCTAGCCTTCTGTGAATTATCTACGTGTGCACTTAGCTTGTTGTTACTGTTAATATACATGGGAGAATGCCATACGTGTCATTCTGAAATGGGGCGTTTTCACTTACAAGCCTTGGATATCTTTGAATATCAGTACACATAGGTCTACTGTGTTCTTTTAAAGAAAATAGTTCTTGACTATCCAGGATCATGCATATTACGAATTTATTATAATTAACTGATTATTCATCCCCCTGTGGATGCATGTTTGGTAATATATTTTTGGTGATAAATGCATCTCCAGCAACATTCATTCTTTATTGTACAATGTCAGTTCTACTCTTTAGAATTTTTGCTGCTATGTTCAGTTAGTTTTCAGAGTTGGTAAATTTAGCTCTATCTTCCAGGGTGGTAGCCATGCAAACATGCCACTCAGATCTGCTGCTGTGGGGAGCACAATTGACCAGCGGCCCCAGCTGCTGCACCCTGAATCCACACCAGGTGTGTGCCGAGGCCACACTTCCCATGGACTGACTGTCTCCAGCCAGTGTCTGCATGTGGTAGGGACACCAAAGCAGGCCCGTTCCTTCCAGACACAGGGCTTCTTGGGTGAATGACTGGCTTGAAGACTTTCCTTTGGCCTGGTCGGAACTCTCAGAGAGCCGCACTGCAGTGTGAGACTCTCCCCTTTCACCCCTTTCTGCCTCTCCGCTCCCCGGGACAGGGCGCAGACCTGCATCCCAGCCTGGCAGCTCTCCCTGCCTTCTTCGTTCTCCTCAGTTTCTGTCACAGTTTCCTTCTCCGATAACTCTCTCGTACGTCTCGTCCCATCTTGGCATTTCTTCTCAGAGGACCTGAGCGAACACACCCAACCTTGCCGTCTTTATTTCGTTGTGTATCTTTTAAAACTACAGTCAGTCCTCACTCTTTGTGCATTCGGCATTCTACAACCTGTTGTTTCTTACAATGGTGCTCCTAGATCAGTGTTTTTCAAACTACAGATCACAACACATGGGTGGATCTTGAAATCAACTTAGTAAAGTTGAAGTGAAGAGAAGAATTTAAAAATCAGGACACATTATATAAAATGGGTAGGTATTGTTTCAGATTTGTTTCAGTGTGTGTGTGTACTTGGGTCTCAACATTCAAAAATTTCTTGCTATAGGTGACAGTAAAAAAAGTTTGGAAACCATTGCCTTAAAGTATCCTTTTTATACCACATTTTTATGTTTTATCAAGCTTTTCAAGTCATTACATAATGAAATTTCCTGCTAGCTAATAGTTCTATTTAGGCAGCTGTGTTAATTTGTAGGACCATTTGAATATATTATTGTATTTTCCCCTTATTTTAGGTAAAAAGTGGATAATGGGGAAATCTAATATCTAATAGTCTGTTCATTCAAACCTAGAAACCATGAGCAACTGTGGAGAATTTTCAGCCACTTCAGATGCGAATGGGGAATTAAGTAGGCCAAATGTGGCTTTGCTGCAAAGGACAGGAATGTGTAAAATTATGGAATTATTTCATTTAATACCTCTAATGGTGAGGAGGAGTAGTGAATGCAATAGAGTTATTTGAAATTGGGGATTGAGATTTCAGCTTCAAAAAATATTCCTGTGGTTCCAATAGAAGCTTTTCCAAGTCCTGAAGCAACTACAACGCTCTTCTCGGAGACAAACGACACACTCACGAGGGGCAGGGACTGTCTTCAGAGTTGGCACCTGCACACTTTTTGAGGCATGGACAACGGACATGGTGCTGTCTGACTGACCCAGGGCAGGTGGCTCCCAGTGTCAGAGAAGCTGACACCATGCACCCAGTCACCAGTGCCATGGCCACCAAACTCTGACATCGACTGGCCAAAAGGCATCTTGCCGCCCCAGCATGTACTGTCTGGCTTCTCATCCATTCTTTCATTGTGCAGAAAGCACTCTGCATTTGAAATCATGTGATCTCATTGCAAAACATTGTTGTGATGCCAGTCCAAGCTGAGGATCATGGAGTTAATTGGCTTTTACATGCTCGTTTACCCACCAGTCATTTTGACTTGAAGTAACAAACAGAAGTGAGTTATGCTCCTCTTCCCACAACAAATTTGTTCTCTGGTTGGGACCACTTGGCAAAGGTGGCTGCACGATTAATTCTCAGGATCACCAGGGTCGACTTCTAGGCACCATCTTTCTGACTCCAGACGCAGGCATTGCGGTCTGCCCGGTTAGTGAGGATGTGGTCACTCTTGGGAGCCCAGTGATGTGTCCATAGTACTCCTCGAGTTTATGAGCTTTCACCCATGGGCTCCCGTTCTTACAGGTGTGGACTTTGGGATTATTGGGGCTAAGGGCAATCTGAGTACATCCCTGTACCATTCCTGGCCAGGCCTGACAGGTGACTGGCTCTAGTAAAATTTGGTGCAGGTATACTTTAGTCTTAGTGTTTTCAGAGGATAGAAAGTTGATTCTCTAGTGGATAGATAAGAAAACCCTAAGAATCTTCTTACAGCAGATGATGAAACGGACTCAGGGGGGCAAACTCCCCAGGGTCATCCAGCCCAGTGGTGGTGCTGGATTAGAATTTGGGCAGTTCAAAGGGGCTCGGGGCGGTGCGGGCGGCCAGGGTGGAGAATTCATGGACTCTGGTCAGTTGCAACAAACAGGCTATAGCTCAAAAAATAATTTAATTGCTTATATTTAATATTTAATCTTTAAAAACATATGCATTACAAACTAATTTGGAAATAAAAATATAGTTATAATTAGAGATTTTATCATATCTTTTCATTCCCTGTATATAGAACCTCCACATAAGTTATTGTACTTTTGACAGTACATTTTTATTACAGTGTAATTTTCATTCAAACTTTTAAAGAAACTGATTTTGTTTGTAAGTGATTGCCTCGGTTTAGTGCTAGCTCATTTCCAGGAGATTCTGGTCTTTCTGTCTCATCGTACACACCATCACCTGCTCTTCTCCTGCCTGTGGAAGGCAGTTGGAGGAGAATCAGTCTAGAGTTTACTACCCACCTTTCACACAAGGAACTTCCTGCAGGTCAGGAGCTGAACAAAGGATGTCGAAGAAAACAGATCATAGCATGTTTTTGCCAGTGAAAGTTGTTAACTGGCCATGTGTTATGTCCTTAAATGGAGTTTATATTGTTTTTTGATTGTTTTTATCCACAAAATGAGGACAATGTTTGTTTTAACAAATCTTTATTTCACTGATTAACTGATTTGAACTTCCTCCCAATGTGAATAGGCTGATATTCTTGTGAGAACATTTTCGTATTTTCTGACTTTAACTGATTTTAACATATCTTTATTTCACTTTCTCCCAATGTGAATAAGCTGATATTCTCGTGAGAATGTTTTCATGAGTATTTTCTGACTTTTCCTTTCTTAAATGTACACACTTAATATTGGACTAGAACACCTTGTGCTATTTATCTCTGGAGTTAAAGATTTCAGTAGAACCAGCAATTTGGGGGCTGCTAATGCAGTGCTTTCATGCTTCCTGAGAAGTAGGAGGACATGTCTTTCCCTTCTAAATATATCTGCAAAATCCTGATGCCACAAAAGCTTTGGCAAAATTTTGATGCACACGTTCAGTGCGAGCTCTCCATATTTTCCAGGGTGGATAAGGAAAAACCCTTCCTTGCACATGCCGGGGAATTAGATTTGTTCTTTGGCTATTGCCCATTCTGCCTCCATCCCCACCTCTGTGTTAGGATTCATACCCTACTCCTGGGCCCTTAATGCAGCCGGCACCTGATGGGCAACCATAGAGGCTGGAGGTGCGAGTGAGGACAGGGAGAAAGGGCTCCTTAAAGCTCAGGTGTGTAAATCGTCCTTAATACCCATTCTCCCAGCCTCACCCCAGTTACAGGCACCAAGGCCTCTTTCTCCTTCCCCCAAACATATTCCTTTGAAATTCCTCTTCCCTGATAAAAAGCAGGTCTTGACATTCATTTCAACCGGATTTCACCTAAAGCAGCAGGGGCAAGTGGAACACAACATTTTCTCCTCTCCAGTCCAGAACAATGGGCCTGGCCATAGGCTTGGCATCCCTTCAAGAATGACTGATAATATTTTGGTGGTTTGGATACAATCATTACTACATTCTGTACTTAATTATTGCGGTGTGCGCTATATCAACTGTCTTTGGTCTTTAAGAGAGAAAGAAGTCCCAGTTTTATGGTGACTTGAGGAGAAGGGGAGGAGGTTCATGAAAGAAAAATAAAGGAAGAAAGTGTGTGTTTCCCAGGCAATTAGTCTGTCATTTCAAAATCTTTGTGAGATAGTGCTGGTTTGGGTTGTGCCAACATAATACTGCTCTACCCCTCCTAGAACTTGGTACTCCAAAAACAAAGCTTGGCTGGTTTCCGCTTCAGCTTGGCAGGTCTGCACAGTCTCTGGTTTCGTCTGGCAGAGTCTGTGGAAGGATGGAAATACCACATAAGCACTCCTGTAAGACGGAGGCTTCAGGTGGCACGGAAGGATGCCAAAGCTTGCCCCTAAAAGTTTCTGCTCTGTTGTTTAATATATTTTAACTACTCTGAAAAATAGCCTACAGAAAAAGCTTGTTTCTCTTGCATTCTGGTTGTGAGGACCAATGTGGACCTTCTGACGGGCCTGAGCTTTAGGACAGACTCTACCCCTAGTTAAATATGGGTCTTTGGACTTGAGTCTCAACTTTAGTGTCCTCAACTATAGGCTGCTTATGTCACAGAGATAGTATGAGAACTCAGTATTATAATATATATAAAGGGCTTAGCAGAGTACTTAGCACACAGTTCACACTTAGTAAATGTTTAGTGTAATTAACCATTGTCTTAATTTTTTATTGAGACTCCCATGGGAGAAAACCAGTGTGTAAATGAAGAGACTGCAGGAAGGGAGGGACCCAAACTCAGTAAAAGTTCAACCATCTCTCCAGTGGTTCCCCAAAGTGGAGATCCAGTTTGGGCTCATACAGATCATGAAGGTCCTGGGCTGAAGGTCCAGAGGGGTTTGGGTCATCCTCACTAGACCACAGGCATTCACGAGGGTGCTGGAGAGCCTCCTACCAGGACCAGTTCTGGGTCAGTTACTCCAAAGAAGGCCCAAGCAAAAGCAGAGGCAAACCCAGAATCAACTCTGGAGCACATTGGCCCCTATGACTGATCACATGACTGCAAGCACACAGCCCTCTTTGTCAATTCTCAAGTCTTCCCCAGGCCATGCCTGCTTTCCTAAGGCTGGGAATCAGAATCAGGCCAAGTTCATTAAGGGTGCCCATGCCAGCACATTATCCTTAACATTAAATTTGTGTTGCAAGGACTCATGGACAGATGCCTACCTTAAAGAGATAAGGCTCAGTTTACATACCTTGTTAAGAAGGAAGAGCACACTACCCTCCCTGGTCTATTGGTTGCATGGCATAGATGATATTTGCAGTCGTGATGACATATTTCTGTTTCTTTTTGTATCAGCAGCCATTACCATTAAGATTTTTTCTTTTTTTTTCATTTTAGACTTACCCTCTAGTTGCTTTATTTCCATACCTACTAACACCTTGGGTTGCCTCTTCATCTTTCCACTCTCCCCATCTCCCCAATACTCACATCACCAGTAGCATTTGGAAGAATATATTTCTTGACTGGCTTGTTTATCCTGAATTTATATTGGTTAACTTTTGATGGGACACTCTAGGGGTTTTGATCTGGGTAACCTAAGAAGTTGGAGGAAAAGATACTAGAACTCATTATCACTGTACTTTGATAACATTTATGTGCCTAAATAGTCTTGGGGGCCACAGGTAACAATCCTGATGAGTGACCTTTTGAAGATAAGGGTTTTGCCTAGATCACTTCCCTGTGAACTTCTCTCTTAACCCATAGTTATGATTTGTTACATTGCAGGGAAAAAATATCAGATACACAAAAAGACTGGAAATTCTTTGAGGTGAGTCACGTATGTTTTGGGGCTTTTCTCTTTGATACAAGACATGAAGTATAGCAACAACTAATAACCATTTGTCAGGTACTTATCTGTAGCTAATCTCTTTTCTGAAAAGGATGCTAAGGCACTATACACCATGCCTTAAGTTTTTTCTCTGATTTTCCTCCTGCAAAGGTGAGTACATGTATAATTTTTCACCACTGTTAGGAATGTTGAGAAATTGGACCATCTGGGTTTATATCTACTTAGCTGTGTTATACAGAGAGGTGGGAGTTTTCCATATCACACCCATAGCTGTGGGTGTGATTCTTGGCTGTTTTCCATTGTAGTCCTTTTATACTTTCTGTACCTCCGTGGCTTGGATTGTCTTCCGCCGTCAACACTTCATAGAGATTGAAGAAGAAATAGGGAGGCTCTTTCGTACCAACATGTTCAATATTCCTCGAAGGAAGCGCGAGGATGAAGAATTAGGAAGGGAAAAGAAATGCATGACTTTTGTACAATTCAGGTATGACCTTTTGACTTTCCTAAGCTCAAGGCCATTTCTAGAAAACAAGGTGATGGGACCTAAATGTCACCTTTCCCCTCGTAGGAGAATGATGGCAAAACGCCCAGCAATTAAAACAGCCATTAACATGCGCTCTCCGGTCATGTCTACTCTGCTGCCGTCTCGCAGAGAAAAAGCTCAGAATATCCTTGAGAAAAAGTATCAAGTAGGCACCCAATTCCCAGCTGAGATGCAAAAGGATATGGAAAATCTGGACTCTGTGCCCATGCCAATGTAAGTGGCCCAAGAAGAGAGAAAAGAGAGCCCCGAGTGTCACCTCCTAGGTTTTGTCGGGGGGATGGGGCTCAGACACCATTCCTGTCCCAGAAAGCTGAACAAAGAGGAAAGCAGCATCTTTCTACACAGCCCCTCCTCCTTCCCACTTGCTTCCTTTCCAGAGCAGCAACTGGTTCACCCATCTAGACTAGAAAAGATTGCTAAATGTTAAGCTGGAATGCAAAGAGCTCTAATTTGGATGAGTGAGTAACACACTTTGAAAGGCTGAGGTTTTTTTTCCAATAGAAGAGTCATCTTTGGGAAATGTAGGAAGGCCCCGTACAAAATCTGTCTTTGGGTGGCATTTTTTGACCCATATTTAAGACCAGAGTAGTCATTCAGGGAAACAGGGAATGCTTAAAAAAATAAAAATAAAATCTGTGTACACACACACACACACACACACACACACACACACAGCCATACACCTTAGTCTTTGGCTTCACTGCTTCAGTTATACCAATAATTCTTTTTACAGAGTTGGCATCTTGGGGGAGCCTCGGTGTCTGTTCAACCCCTATACTCTTCTCCCCCTCGAACCAGAAGAAAACATGAAATCGTCTGCGCGACAGTCTTTTCTGATGGAAAGAAATCACGCGAGGCTTCAGGACACACTGCGCTTAGAAACGAGAACACGGTCTTCCTCCCAAACAACATTGCCTGAATAATCTGGTACATTCCATTTCTGTAATTAAATCCCTATAATTAAATTACTTGGGCTTAATCACTTCATGTCAGACTAATATTTGTTTTTATTAATTTTTTTAATTGTTGAAATTATTGTGTTAAAAGTTCAGCAACAGACTATTAAAGAAATCCAGAAAGCTCTTGGAAAGTCCATTTTCCTATATTTAGTAGTTGCCTTGTCATTTGTTTTCCTCCTTGGCTTCCATGTGACTATTTCGAGTAACATGTTAGGACACTTAGCCAGCGCTCTAATGGACTAGTGAGAAACACTCTGTGTATTCATTTCTCAGTTCCTTTTTTGCTTTATGAGAAACTGTCTTTGGTATGTTTGAAAACAAAATTTCATACAAAGGCAAAATAAATATTTTTAACATTAATCTCTTTGGCATCTCTTATTGGCATTAAGATATAAAGTATATCTGACCCATTTAAAAGCCTTTGAACTTTTTAATTGATTTTTATTTATTCATTTAACAACAAATATGCACGAAGGCCCTGCTCCATCCAAAGCCTTGTTTTGGGTCATGTAAGGGAAGAAAGATCATCAAGATGGAGACCATAACCCCTCAGGTCTAGGTAGTAGAAGAGATAAGTGAGATACATACCTGCTCACAAAACAAGATTGAATATGACAGAGACCATAAAAGAGGTCGACACTGACTGCCCCGAGAAGACAGAGCAGAAGAGCAATCACGTCTGGAGGGAGCAGCAGTCTTCCAATTTGAATTTGGTGTTGCAAGGACTGGGTGGCACTAAAGGGGGACTTCCAGTCAGAGGAAGGATGTGTGAAAAGGAAGAAAGTGAGCCCTAGCTGGCATAGCTCAGTGGATTGAGTGTGGGCTGCAAACCAGGCATCGCAGATTCGATTCCCAGTCAGGGCACATGCCTGGGTTGCAGGCCATGGCCCCCAGCAACCGCACATTGATGTTTCTCTCTCTCTCTCTCCCTCTCTCCCTCTCTCTCTCTCCCTTCCCTTTCTAAAAATAAATAAATAAAATCTTTAAAAAAAGGAAGAGATGGAAAAGTGTGTCCTATGACTGAGGAATGGCCGGAGCATGGTGTATGTGAAGGGGTGCAAAAAAAGAACAGGCTGGTGGGTTCAGCTGAATGTCCAGCTAGGGAGTAAGTGGGATGTGACTTGTAGGCAGTGAGGTTAGGAATCGCTAACGAAACCAGCTCACCGGGCAGAATACAGAGTGGTTGACTATACAATATTATCTTTTAAAACAGGGGTGTCAGACTCATTTTCACTGGGGGCCACATCAGCCTCATGGTTGCCTTCAAAGGGCCGAATGTAATTTTAGGACTTTATAAAGGTAACTACTTTTTAACTAGGGCTAGGAGCTCGGCGCTGCCGCCGGGTAGAAACAAGGTGGAGGGCCGGATTCAGCCTGTGGGCCTTGTGTTTGCCACTTGTGATTTAAAAAGACCTGTAAGAGTTTAGCCAACTAAAATAACTGGACTAAATTTACCTTTCTGTGGCCATCAAGTATTCTCAAACTTCATAATCCTTCTTTTAGAATTTAGCTAAAAATTCATTCATTCCACAGAAAAAAAAAACAACTGGATACCTTTCCCAGATTTAGTATGAAAAGCAGAGGAACACCAGCTCCAGCCTATTGGTAATGTGGGACAGCTTCTGTTTAAACCTACTCTGTCTTCACTCTCTCATCCTTTATTATTCAGGTTAGCTCCTATTATTTCTGTTAAAACTGCAAGGTTGTTTTTTTTTTAATCAAAATCCTGGATTATAAACTAACACTTGCTGGACTTTTTATATATGTAGAGAATTTGGTTATAATGCACTCTGTCATAACAAATTTTTATCTAGAGTGTGTTGATATGGTTTCATTTTTTTGGTTGTTAATGTTTTAAAAATATAGCCTAGGAATTGTAAGACTTTCACAACTCTCTTTACTATGGCACAAGGCTGTTGCTGACTCCTTCCTGAACTGTGGGGCTTTGGTGTGCTTCGTTTGCTAATTCCTTCATTCATTTCTCCATTTTGTTTTTCATTCTACAGTCACTATACCCCCACTCTGTGCTATGCACCATGATTGGTGCTTGGAATTCAGTGTGGGAAATAATACAGCCAGCTCTGACTTGGATAGTGACATTACTCAGGTAGTGAACTAATTGCCATTGTGATGAGTGTAACAAAAGAGAAGAGAATGCTGTGAGAGTGGATAAGCAAAGACTTGCTCATACACGGGGGATTGTCAGGGGAAGGGAAGGTCATCCCTGAGGAAGTGACATTGATATCTGAGACTCAAAGACACATAGCAATTAAAGAGGTGGGAAGTGAGTAGGGAAATGTTCCTGACTTTGTTAGCTATCTATTGCTACGTAATAAATTAGCTTAAAACATAGTGGCTTGAGACAGTAACATTTATTATCTCCCAGTTTCTGGGGATCAGGCATCTCGGTACAGCTTAGCTGAATCCACTGACTCACCATCTCCCAGAAGGTTCCAAAATGTCCACTAGGGCTAAAGTCGTCTAAAGGCTCAAATGGGGTTGGTCTGCTTCCAACGTGACTCAAGTCGTTGTGGACAGGATTAAGTTCCTTGCAGGCTGTTGCACTGAGGCCTCAGCTCTTCATAAACTATTAGCCTGAGCCCCCTCCCCCAAGTTCTTTGCCATGTGAGCCTCTTCATAAGAAGCTTACAACATGTCAATTGGCTTCATGAGAGTGAAGGAATAAGGGAGGAAGAGAGAGTACAAGCAACACAGAACTTACAATCATTTACAGCCTAATATTAGAACCGATGTCATCACTTTAGCTCTATCTATTTGTTAGAAGCAAGTCACAATGTCTAGTATACCTCCAGGGGAGGGGATGACACAAGGCTGAGAATGCCAGGAAGTGAGAGTCATTGGGGTCTCCTTAAAAGTCAGCCTGCCACACTGGCAGAAGAAAAATGTGAAAATCTTGAGGCTGGAAGCAAAAGTCTTTCAAGTTGCCAAGATAAGGCTTCTGTGGGTGCAGAGAGGAAGGATAGAAGGATGAGATGTGGCTGGGGAATAGGCGAGAGCCCTGTCACAGAAGGTTTTATAAATGTAATAAGGGTGCACGTAAGATCCATGTGGCTTGTTGCAATTTGATTATGCAGTTCGTGCCTTGCACAAAGGCATCAGCCAAGGCCATGGGTAGGTGTGAAGTCCAAATGCATATTTTGGTGGTTCTAGGTCTTTCCAGAGGGAGTCCCTATTTGTAATTTATAAATCAGCAGCCTCACATAGGTACCCTTTGATGGTTTTTAAGCAGCTTCATCATTAAAGCTTACCAGGAGTGTTTTTTAATTTAAAATATTCAGCAATTGAAATAATGAACAGACAGGCTAGAGGCTGGAGAAAATATTTGTATAACATATCTGATAGAGAACTGCTATGCAAAGTATAGAAAGAACTCTTAAAACTCAATAATAAGAAAACAAACAATCCAATGAAAAAATAGTCAAAAGCTATGAAGACACATTATCAAAGAAGATACACATATAACAAATAAGTATATGAAGAGAAGCTTAACATTATTTGCAATTAGGGAATGCAAATTTTAAAAGCATGAGATACCACTACACGCTCATTAGAATGGCTATGAAAACAAACCAGACAATAGCAAGTTCTGGTGAGGCCGCTGAGCAACAGGAACTCCTTTCATTACTGGTGGGAATCAAAATGATGCAACCACCTTAGAGGACAGTTTGGAAGTTTCTTAATTTATGTTTCTTACTTTTTCTTAAAATTAATGTGAAGATCTAATGGACCCAGATAGCCAAAACAATCTTGGAAGAGAAGAACAAAGTTGGAGGACTAACACATTCTGATTTCAAAACTTACAACAAAGCTTCAGGATTCAAGACTGTGTGGTACTGGTATAAGAATAGACATTTATGGCCCTGGCTGGTGTGGCTCAGTGGATTGAGTGCTAGCCTGTGAACCAAATGGTCACCGGTTTGATTCCGCATCAGGGTTCATGCCTGGGTTGTGGGCCAGATCCCCAGTGGGGGCTGCACAAGAGGCAATCACATATTGATGTTTCTCTTCCTATCTTTCTCCCTCTCATTCTCCCTCTCTAAAACAAATAAATAAAATCTTAAAAAAAAGAATAGACATTTATGTCAACAGAATAGAATCGATAGTTCAGAGATAAGCCAGGACATTTAATGAAGGAAAGAACAGCATTTTCAACCAATGGTGCTGGAACAACTGGATATTTCTATGCAAAAAGTGAAGTTGGATTCCTACCTTATACCATACAGAAAATTTAACTCAAAATGGATCATAGCCCTAAATGTAAGAGCTATGACTAGAGAACTGTTAGAAGAAAATGTAGGAGTAAATCTTTGCAATCTTAGATTAGGCAGTGATTTCTTAATTATGAATGACACCAAGAACACAAGGAAAAATGGATAAATGGGATTTCATCAACGTTAATAATTTTTGTGCTTCAAAGGATGTTTATCAAAAAAAGGAGGATGATGGTTGTACAACTTCATGAATATACCAAAATAAATTGAATTATACACTTTAATGGTGAATTGTATAGCATGTGTATTATATATCAATAAAGTTCTTGTAAAGAAGTGAAAACAATTTGCAAATCATATATGTGGGAGGGATCTAGTCTTCAGAATAAATGCTATAATGAACTCTTAAATCTCCACAATAAAAAATAAATAAGCCAATTTTAAGTTGGGCAAAGAATTTGAAATAGATATTACTCTGAAGAAGGTAGATGAATGTCCAATCAGCACATGAAAAAATCATTAATAATTAGGGAAATACAAATGAAAACCACAATGAAATACCACTTCACACCCACTAGGATGGCTATGAGCAAAAGACAAGAACAAGTGTTGATGAAGATGTGGAGAAATCAGAACCTTCAAAATGTTGCTGATGGTAATGTAAAATGATGCAACCACTTTGGAAAACTGTCAGTTCCTCAAAAAGTGAAGCACAGATTTACCATATGACCTAGCAGTTCCACTCCTAGATATACGAGGACCATCTGTCCAGGAGGTATCCAGTCACATAATATGAAAAATAGAGACATTTATTGAAGAATATACAAGATACAAGAAGCATTGTACATAGGACAATGATGTCTCAGTCCCCTCCAAAGT